AGTTGGGACTGAATCAGTTTTCTAACACCAGAATATAAGTTCCTTGCTTTTGTAACATTTGGCACCTCTGTATAAAGTATAGGTCCTTTATTAGCCACTTCTTCAAATCTCTCTCTATGTTTAATGATTTGTACATGCACCCTCAGGATCTTTTGCAAGTATGTCCAGATCCTGTATTCCTTTGTGCCTTTTTCATAATCTCTTTTTCTTACCATCAAAATGAATTGCTTACACTTTCTCCAATTTAAATTTAATCTGCTACTTTTTCATCGTTTTCATCTACCTGTCTGCCTTTTGAAATTTGCTACCATGAAACATTTGGAGTAGGCCATCAGTTCTCTTGTGCTGCTCCACTATTCAACAAGATCATGGCTGAATAGATAGTGACAGTTTTCTGTTTCTCCATAACCTTTAACACACAAAATCTGCTAACTCTACTTTGAATATATTCAATGACCAAGCTTACTGAAAAATAAAATGCACAAGACTAGCAATCCTCAGAGGAAATACTTTCTCAATTCTAGTTAAATCAGAGGATGCTTGCTTTGAAAATGCCACTAGTTTCCGACACTCCTATGGACAGAATCATTCTCTTAAAATCTATCCTTCCCCAGTCTCCACATAATCGCTTTTAATGAGATCACACGTCACCATTTTAGTCATTCAGATGACCTGGGCTATGCTGGCTAAGCCAGCATTTATTACCCATCCCTAGTTGTCTTCGGGAAAGTGATGGTGAGCAGCCTCTTTGAACTTTTCCAACCCATTCGTGGTTGGTGCACCGTGGAATTTGACTCGGCAATAGTGAAGGAACCGAAATATGTTTTGAAGTCAGAATGGTAAGAGGCTTAGAGGGGAACTTGCAGGTAGTCGTGTTCCCATGTATCTGTTGCTCTTCTTCCTTCAAGATAGAAGTGGTTCTAGGTTTTCAAGGTGCTAAGGGGCCTTGGTGAATTTCTGCAGTGCACCTCGTTGATATGCGCTGCTCCAACTGTGTGTCAGTGGTGAAGGGAGTGAGTATTTGAGAATGTGGTGTCAAAAAAAAGTCATAGCCAGTGTATAAGCCCAATCTGCTCAACCTCCCTTCATCAGAGAAATCACTCCCCCTAAGAATCAACCTAGTGATCCAAGTCTGAACTGCTTACAATGTAGGTGTGTCCATTCTTAGGGTGATCATTGCTTGAGATACTGTGGTGTGGACTCAACTGTGCATTGCAGTAAGATTTCACTATATTATACTCCAACCTCCTTGCAATAAAGACAAACATTATTTTTGTTTTCATAATTATTTTACCTGCATGCTAATGTTTTGTGATACATGTGTGAGATCACCCTGATTCTTGTGTATATTCTTTTCCAGATTTTGTATGACCTCGCAAATTGTTTTCCTACCTATCTGGAATTGTCAACTCCTCTTTACAAATTAACACCGTACATCTCAGTTAATATTCTGTTCACTTGTCCGATCCCACTATCTCTTTACTAAAGGAATGTAGTATTTCCAAAAAGACATGAAACAAAAGTTCATAACTTTTTGATCATCTCTCTCCCATTTCTTGGCTAACAGAGTAATAGTGGCTGTTTTCTCTTTTTGTTGGAGGCATTGTCTCAATCCAGACTTTTGAGACATTACCATTAAAGCATTTGCAATTGCCTCACCACCTTTTTGGTACCATGAGTTGAACACTAGGCTTAGGGATTTGTCAACCTTAAGTCATTTGCCACTAATTTGTTTCAAAAGTGCATAAAATACTGGCAAGATATATTATTCTTGATTGTGCACAGAGGGAACCAGCAAAAGTGGCTTTGGATTTGATATGTTTAGCTGTCCAGAAAATTCATTAAACTGAGTTTGTATTTCTTTTACAAGAGCAGAAACTTTGTCACTGAAATCCTCAATATTGAGGGCATTGACATTTTAAATCTCAAATCATTCCTTATGCTTTCAGCTAATTAGTGATGCATCTTTTTGAAAATGTTCAGCTCATTTTCCTTATTACTCTTAACTTGTAAAGGGTAAAATTGCTGTGAAGTAAGGGAGACTTAAAGTAGTTGTGTGTTTGTGTACAGTATATAGCTTTAGAAGTAATATTTCTGGAGAGGGGCTTGAGGAATGTGATGAATATTTGGGGGAAAAAATTGCGAAAAGTCACTGGCTCTTGACTTTTTTTTTGAAACAATAGCTTGAAATTATTATGTTGAAAAGTTACCATTAGTGCTGGCAGTGTTGGTGAACTGTTCATTTTGTTTTCTAATTTGAGCTGCTCAAAACATTTTGAATGCTCTTGTAGTTACCTCCAGGTGCTGCTAAGCATGGATTGAATATGAACACTGCTTCAGCTTTTCAACAGGCAGGTGGCTATGGACAGCATGGATACGGGACTGGTATGTACTCTGTATGTCACGTTGATGTAAAATTTTGAATTAACCTTGGATTGCAGACTGATGGCTTGAGGTGACGAGGATAATGGTGCAAGATTGAAAAAAGATGGTAATGGGACAGATGAAAGAAATAAGTTTTCTTGGGAAATATAAGCAGGGAATCCATCAAAATCAGATGATCTATAGGTTAATTGGATAATTTATCAAATGTAACTCTGTTCCCCTTTCGAAGTCCCAAGGAGTAATTTATGTCTGCTGAGAACGCAGTCGGGTTTGCATTGTACAATATATAATACTTGCGTATTGAAGTGTCCATCCAGATTGAGGTTGGTATTTATCACTTCCAGTTCCAAAGGTGAGACATCCTGTGCTGTTCTGGTTTGGCAGTGGTACACTTCCAAAGGTTATTCTCCCATGAAATTATGGGGGTTCACCCATCAAAAAAAAACCCACTGTTGGTAGCTTTGTAAACATGTCCTAACAAATGCAGGTGTCTGCAGGAGGGGAAACTACTGAAAGGAATAATTGGTGATGTAGCATCTTTAATATAGAAGGTAAGGTGCTTCACAGAAGCTTTATCAAACAAAATTAGACATCTGACTACATCAGAGTATATGAAGGTTTGTCAGATTTAAATAGCACCTTCAAGGAATAGAGGGAAAGTGTCTTGGAGATTATGGAAAGGAACTCCAAAGCTTGGAACCCAAGGAGCCAATGAATACACAGCCACCAGAATTCTAAAATTAGGGATGCTGAATAGGCTAGAATTCGATCAGGTGTTTGGAAAGGTGTTTGACTACAAGAAAAACAATTACTGATGAATTTTCTGAAGAATGGTCCTGACCCGAAATGTTAACTTTCCTGCTCCTCTGATGCTGCCTGGCCTGCTGTGCTTCTCCAGCTCCACACTTTGTTATTAATGATGAATAATATATAGTTTGGCATCAGATGTAAGGTGAGATGTAAACTTATACTTAACTTGACTACTGTAATTTTATTTTACTTACAATTTTACCATTGATTAGGTATTGCTGATTGGTAATCCACTCTTTGATCACTTTTGAAACATGGACCAATAAATTATACCCTGATTATTTTAGCTTTGTTAGAATGAAGTCAGTCTGGGAAAAATATGCGAGGCAAATCTGAATAGATAATTGAGACTCTCTGGTACTTGGTGCACACTGCATAATATTGTTTTGGTACACTACGTCCCTCTGCACTGTATTCTAATGAAGATGTGTGAAATAGTCATTTTTGGAACTTTTTAAAATGTGAGATATGTGGATGTGGGCAATGCAGAGGATTTTGTTGCGGGGAGAACAGAAGTTATGATTCTGGAACGGTGATCCAAATGTCTCACTTCCAATAATACTTGACTGCAAACAAGGTCCTAAGATAACCCTTGGAGTGGTAATAAAATCTATGTTCATACTACTTGGATTTATAACAGGAATTTATCAGTCCGGTTTGACACTTGGCCTTGCTTCCACGTACTTCAGCTTTCATGGAAAGGTAGCAACAACAGAGTTTGGGCTAAAAGGAAGTTGGTTTGAACTTTTACTGGTTCTAATGTCAGAATTGTTACATTGTCATGACAGTTCAAGAAAGAAACTAGAAGGAAGCAGTTAAGTGCTAACTTAGAATTGAGATAGGAATATAATTTTTCTAAGCTGTGGTCTCTATGGTGGATTGTGTTGGGAAACTGGTTGAACTTTTGTTTTAATGTTTGTTACGATTTGTTTCTAATTGTAAATATAGCTTGTTTTATTTTTTGTGTAATAACTGTTTTGTTGTTGATGAACCTCCGTAGCCTCGTGAATATGTAATCACCAAATTTAAAAAAAAAACTATCAAGGTCTGTTTTGTTCTGGAATCTGTCTTGTCTATCAACTGGAATCATAATTGGATTCCCAAATTTTAGTGTATCTGTTTGAGACTTAATTTGTAAAGGCGTTATTAATAACAAACATGAAATAGATAGTCATAGCTTTTAAAGGGTAGTTGGATAAATGCTTGAAGAATATGCAAGGCTGTCGGGAGTGGCAGTTGATGGAAAGGCCTTTTAAGGAGTTATTACATTTGCTGGTATTTTTGAATTGATTTCATTCTCTAGCAAATTCATGCTTATTTAATCTACTGTCCGATCTCCTAATGAAGAGTTCAAGTTACCACTAAAATGTAGTCTATACCCAGTTGAACTTGAAATGTTATTGTTGGGCTGATGAGTTGATTACTGGCTAGGAGATTAGATTCTTGACTGTTTTAAATGTCTCACTTGTGGTTCATGTACAAGTAGATGTTTCTCTGAAATTCTGGAAGTTGAAACTTTGAAGTTGAAGATGTTTTAAATTATTAGTCTCTGATAACTATGACAATTTGTGGACAGTCTCCCCACCGAGTTGTGCAAGCTAGAATTACTTAGCTTTTTTACGAAAACTTTAGATTTACAAAAGTTTTCGATTTTAAAACCATCCATTTTCAAAATACTTCAGATTTCTTTTTATGTATTCTTTTTGAACTATTTTAGTCTGACTGTTCCAGAGTTGCTTTGGACATTCAATAGTACTAAGCCTGCTAATATATTGAGATAGACTTGCTTTTTCTTTCTTGGCCATTGCTGCTTAATTACCTGACATGAGAGGTGCTGTTGTGGTACTTAAGAGAATAGCTGTTTTTAATAGACTTATAGCTGCAGTAGAACCTTCATTGTGGAGGGCAGAAAAAGTTGCAGAAAGGCACAATTAAAGCAAGGTTCTAGCAATAGAAATTCTGTAGTCTAACTTTGTTCTTGATTGACAGGTTATGAGGATTTAAACCAAGGGGGTGGAGCTGGAGATTACAGCAAAGGTGCCTATAGTGGGTCTACTCAAGCACAAACCAAATCAGCTGCAGCTGGACCAGGGAAAGGTAAGGCTTGTGGGTCAATGCTGTTTAGTATAGTGAGTCCTCTAACTACCACGTGCCGTATAATCTGGCATGCTCTGTCTATGGGGATAGTTGTCTAGGTGTCTATGGGGGCAGGGGGAAGCAATGGCCTCAGTGGTATTATCACTGGACTGTTAATTCGGAGACCCAGATAACATTCTGGGGTCCCAGGTTTGAATCCCGCCATGGCAGATGGTGGAATTTGAATGCAATGAATATCTGGAATTAAGAGTCTAATGATGACCATAAATTCACTGCCAATTGTTGGAAAAACCCATCTGGTTCACGAATGTCCTTTAGGGAAGGAAACTGCCATCCTTACCTGGCCTGGCCTACATGTGACTCCAGACTCACTAGCAAAGTGTTTGACTCTTAACTGCCTTCTGGGAATTAGGGATGGGCAATAAGTGTTGCTTAGCCAGCAATGCCCTCATCCTGTGAATGAATAAAGAATTATCATTGTTAATTAGAGAAATGTATAACAGATATGTATTGCATTTCTAGCCAGCAGTGATGACACATTGTTTATCGAGTGTCAGTTTTCCAACAATGTGATTAGATGAAATGTTATGATGGCTAACTTGCATTTTGCTAGGTCATTAAATTAGATTGTTGGACCCCAGTGTTTACTGTGGTATGGGGCAAAGATCAGAACGGCATTGTTATCTTTGTATATCTCTGCCGATAACCAAACTTTGGAAGGAAGGAGGTAGTATTACTGGACTGTGCAGAATTGGAGATTACAAAATTGTTTAAGAATGAATTGAATTGAATTGAAGTGGACGTGGGTAGTGTGGGACTTGCAGTCTTTCGAGGTATAGATGGTTATTGGATACATCAGGAAAGGCTGGCCCTGGTAATTTCCTACAATGCATGTAGATTGTAGTGCCTTCATTAGAGGCCCAACAGCAGATAACTAACTAAGTTCTCAATATGTAAAGGAACTCTATTTGCCTTCTCTTAAGGACTGACTGACTGACAAAAGTTGTGTAGAGCTGTGTTCTTGGACTGTTTAACTTGGTTGTAACTAATTAGAAAGAAGGAGTTTAACTGAAATAATCCTTCACGACTTGTAGTGTATGTCCACATTGTCTCCAATATCATTTACCTGTACTTAGGCACTTGTGCTGAGAGCTCTTTTGTAATGTTGGTGTACAAGTGAAATTTGGAGTGCCTTACGACTGGCTTCATTTACAGGCTAGTGAGAAAAGTATCCTTTTAAAGTGAAAATATTTTGTATAGTTGACTTAAACTATTGATTATCACAGTGAATGAATTATTGTGTTACAGGTATTTCGGTGAACTCTTCTAACATTGTTCCTGATATGAGTGGCTCAGTATACAAGACTCAGGTGCATATTTATTTTCACTTATGCTTGTGATGCAGAGGATTGCCAACATTTATTTTTGCTGAGTTCTTCATCGAGATTTACAGCTTATTCTTTCTTTCAGAAGCAAATGCGAGTGAAATTAGTCCTTAGCAACAATTGGCAGCCAATTTTTTCCCCTTCCACTTAAGTCAGTTGTCTGTCATGGTGTAACATGGATCGCCGGTTATTATAAATACATTTCATGCGGCCAACTGAGACTATTTGCATGGAATGTGATTTGATTTTGTTGGCTAGCATAACTTTGCTTAAAACAGGAAGCAACACACTGTGTTGTACAGTACCTGGATTATGCCTAGCTACAGATTATAACACGAACTGAGTAAGAAGTTTAGAATTTGTTGAAAATGGGAACTCTATAGATACGAAGACAGTTTTTAGCCTTAACACTTTTATTTGTATAAGCTTGAGTCAATGGTATTTGATTTTTTTTTTGTAATGCTCCGTATAAACTGGTTGTAAAATTACAAAATCCAAAGCAAAAATCATCTAAATAAAGCCTGAGAAAGTAAAGATTAAAGACAACAAGATAAAAAAACCATTTTGCTCTCTAGTGAGCAAACATTAATGACCATCTCATTTTAATTCAAGCTATAAATAAACTGGGTGGGAGGGTAAAAAATGTGAGGAGGATACAGAGAAGCTTTGGTATGACTTGGACAAGTCGAGTGAGTGAGCAAATGCATGGCAGAATAAACATATGAAGTTATCCCTTATCCACTTTGATAGCAAAGCAGGAATGTAGATCATTATCTGGCAATACATTTGGAATGGGGAAAGGTGCAAAGAGACCTGGATGTCCTTGTACACTAGTCACTGCAAGTGAGCATTTATGTGCAGCAGGTGATGGAGGCAAATGGTATGTTGGCCTCCATAATGGGCAGATTAGAGGGTACAGCAATTGTACAGCACCTTGGTAAGACCTCGCTTTGAGGATTGTGTGCAGTTTTGGTCTCCTTATTTGATGAGTGATGTTCTGGTTATGGAGAGAGTGCAACTCAAGTTTAACAGACTAATTCCTGTTGGTTAGCACTATATTCACGCAAGTTAGAATGGAAGGAGTGGGGCTTGAAAGGGCCAGTTGACCATGTGCTGTTATTTAAAGTCATTCTAGCAACAAAGAACAGCAGTGTCAGGGCGTGCTGTATTGGGATTATGGTATCTAAGAGTTCATGACTAGCAAGGCAACAATATATTTGCTTTCAATTTCTCTCAATCCAGCTCAGTGATTGAGTTGAAGTTGTCAATGCTCTGGAACTTGGAGACAGAATTTCTAGATAGTTCTAGAAGGGAAGGTTGGCTGTTAGGGAACAATGTAGCAAGGATTTGGATATTGAGAAGGAGTCCTACAAACAGCAGTAGGATTCTTTTCTTTGTGCATAACTTAACAACCATAAGCAATGAATGTTTGTTTGCATTTTGTAACTTTTATCATTTCATGTAATTAACCCATCAAAGTTGCTGACATTCTGAACTGCCAAAAACTGTAGTTTTAGTTTGTTGATTTCCTACATTTTCTGTAGTCTTTTGACAAACAAGGATTTCACGCTGGTACACCACCTCCGTTCAATCTACCATCGGCTCTTGGAGCAACAGGAACCTTAAACCCTGGTGCAGCTGCAGGATATGCTCCACCATTTTTGCACATTGTGTCAGCTCACCAGCAGCCTCATTCTCAAATGCTACATCATCACCTGCAACAGGATAATCAGGTAAAGACAGAGCATTTCTACAAAAATGCACAATTTTAAAGTGATACAAATAATGAGCTTTTGTAGTGGAGTAGCATAGTTTTAAAGTATCTTTATGAAAAATGCACAAACAGTCTCTAAGCCTGGTATGTCCCTTCCACGACCATCAATCCTTTTTCAATGAAGAGAGCAAGAGGACAACCCAAGCACATGATGTCAGACCATTGCAGATATATTACTGAACTGCTTGCAGAGCAGACAGCAGAGGCAAGCATGCTATCAATGGAGCTGAGCGATCCCACAAATAACAGCCTGGATCAAAGTTCTGCAGTCTTGCCACATATAAACATGTAGCAGGAGAAGGAGACTTGACAACTGTCCTCATTGATCGAGGAGCCCTGCAGGTCAGCACAAAAGCTTTCAAGCTTTCCAGCTTTCCAGCTATCTTCAGCCAGAAGTGTGAAGTGAATTATCCATTTCGGCATCCTCCTGAGGTTGCAAGTGTTGTAAATGCCTTTCTTTAGTAAATAGGGTTCATTGCAATTGATATCAAAAATAATCCTCCCTTAACTCACTTCCTGGAACCAGTTTTATGCACGTTTGAGAGGCAGTGTCTACTGCTGGCAATCAGCAAAGTGAAGAGACCTATCAAGTGGCACTTACACAACAATATACTACTCATTGCTCAGTTTGAGTTCCACCAAGGTCACTTGATTCTTGAGCTGTTATAGCCTTGTTGCAAACATGAATGAACTCAAGTTAGGGTGTGTGAGACTACCATTGATGTTAATGTGCCACCATGTTTACGTAGTCTTTGTAAGCAATCCAGTCAGTCCGATTCTCTTGCTCTACCCCTATAGCACTACTACATTTCTCTCAAATGCGCATCCAAGCTTTGTTGTTAATCTCCACTTGCATTACCCTCACGTTATTATCGCCTGCTTTGTTTAATAAAGCATTCTTCCTCAATCCTTTTGCCTTTAGTCCAACATCTTAAATTTGAGTCTCCTAATCCTTCTACCAGCTTTTCCATTCTAAACATGTCAATCTAATACTGTTTGCATCTGTTTCAGATTCTACTTCCTTTGCTCCTTGGAGAACAGATCCAACTATTCCAACCTAATCATACAGCTCAAATTTTTCATTGTTGGAACCATTCTCTTAAATCTCCTCTGTGCACTCGAGGACTTTCCACCTTTCAAGTGTGGAGAACATAATTGGGTTTATATAGGTTCAGCATAGTTGCCCTGCTTTTGTACTCATTTCCTCCTATGGAAGATCCCACAAGCTTTGCCCCTATATGTCTTTAAAGTTCTGTGTGCATTGACTTGCTGTCCTCGCTGTCTTTAAATTTCTGCCATTTTGTATTTATTGTCTTGTCTTTTTTACCAGAATGTACTCTTCCAAACCTGGTTTGGTCAGCCCATTCAGTTAGCCTGTCTATGCCAGCAGTCATAGTCATAGTGTGGAAACAGACCCTTTGGTCCAACTGGACCACGCCAACAATGTTCCCAAACTAAGCTAGTCCCAGCTGCCTGCATTTAGCCTATATCCCTTTAAAGCTTTCCTATTCATGGACTTATTCAAATGTCTTTTAAATGTTGTAACTGTATCTGCACCCACTTTTTCCTCTGGCAGTCCATTCCACATAGGAGCCACTGTTTTTAAGAAAACAAAAATGTTACCTGTCATGTCGTTTTTAAAACTTTCTCCTCTCCCCTTTTTAAAAAAAAAAAAGTCCCCGGTTTTGAATTCCAATCGGTGCCTCTGCCATACACAAATTTGGCATTGTTGACACTTAAATTTTGCTGTCAATATCCAAGTCATTTTTTTAACAAAAGATCAGTGATCCAAACAATAATCCTTAGGGGGTTACCACTTTTCCACCTTCCTGCAGTCTTTTTTAATAAAATTATCACCGCTCATCACTTTAATGTTAAATCTATTTTATCTACCTTGATATGGACTTTCCTGTTCATGAGCCTAAATTTTTTAAAACTTCCTTTTATATGCTTTTCCTGTTTGGATTTTGAGTGATTATCAATGTCCACTGAGAGCATTTGAAATCAGTTCACCTGTTGGGCAGATCTTATTGCATGGTATGATCTAGCTCAGTTCTAAATAACCTATTCATGTTTGGCTCTGTTCTCGTTGATGCCTTTTAAAAATGATTCTTGAATATCTGAACTGCTTGTACCATATTTTTTATAGGTTATTTATAGAGTTAATAGGATTGGGTGTCGCTGTATTTTCTTTCTACATTACAATGCATTGTGGCGGCCTACTTCCAAGACTTGGCATGACCTAAACACCCATTCATCAAGATGCAGACATATGAAGTTAGGAGCCGGTGTAAGCCATTTAGTCCTCCAAGTTTGTTCTGCCATTCAATAAGATCTGATTGTAATCTCAAATCCATTTGGTTGGCAGTACCTGTGGACTGATCATCCTGCAAAATGAAGTAACTTTGGGTGAGGGGAAATTGTGATAATTAAGGTAACCTTAGTTGGATGGTTAAAGTGACCCAAATGCTGACTGTAAATGTTAATTCACTTCCTAACTAAGTATAAAAATAAGAGTAGGCCATTCAGCCCTTTGTCTCTTCTGCCAATTAATGAGATCATGATCTGTTGCCAAACTTCATGTCCCTGACTTTGGCCCATATCCCTTATACGTTTTGCTTAAATTAACAACTGATGTAGCACCCACTGCCATTTATGGAAGAGAATTCAAAACATCTGCCACCATTTTTGTGTGGAAGTACTTCCTAACATCTCTTCTGACCAGTCTAGTCTTAAAAAAATTAAGACTATGTCCCCTAGTTCTAGTGTCTCTAATCAGTGAAAATAGTTTCTCTTTTGCTACCCTACCTTTTCTTGTTAATATCTTGAAGACTTTGATCAGATCATCCCTTGAAACTTCTAAATTCTATTTTGACTTGCAGGGTGGATCTGGACAGCGCAATCAGCAGAACAACATACCACAGAAGTCTCAGGTTAACAAACCCAACTATGGCAACTCTCCATACTGGGGTAATTAAACTGAAAGTTGTTGCCCCCTTCTGGTAAAAGGAAAAAAACTGGTTGGCCAAATGTCTGTGTTGTTGCGGGGGGTGGAGCTAAAATCTTAACATTACCTTAAATGTGACAGTTGCCTGCTTTTGATTTGCTGTTGTATGTAATATATTTATGTATGTATTTGTATATGTAATAGAGCCTAGATGTGGTTTCTGCACTTGAAGCCTTTCTTCATGGGGGAAGATTAATAAACTCTCAATAACAATGCATATTTGTTTGAGCTCTGTGGGCTTTCTAAATGAACAGTGTTTTCCAGTATTGAAAATGGGGTTTCCTTTGTTTTAACTCAGTTTATGAAGAATTCCAGGAAAGGGGTGGGGGTGTAGCAGTTTAGAAATCCAGATTCTGTGCATAACTTTTTTTAGACCTATCCTATTAATTTTGTATCAATCAAACTTGGACTATCTTAATTTTAAATTTGCCACCTGATTTTGTGGATGATTTTCAAACAACTGTTCGGAAACAAAATTGTTTTTTTAAAGAAATCATTGTCCTTCTAAGAACTGTATTTATCTTGGTATTTATTTAATATTTCAAAATGCACAGGCTCCATATGTCAAATTATATACATTTATTTGGTATGTTTCCCTTCTTGCCTATGGTAAGCAGAGCTAGTAGTTTTGAAAATCTTTACTTCCAATATAACATCCCATCCAGCAATTTTGCTGTTAATGTCAGGAGCCAGAATGGTAAATATTTTAGTTGAATTTCCTTTTAAACCCAAAGAAAACCTAATAAAAGCTCTGAGCAATTAAACCATGTGTGAATTTTTTTGAAATAATTTATTTCACTTGAGATTCTAGAATTTTCTTTGTCATTTACCATTGGTCAATGGAGTTAAATTCAAAATTTAAAGAGGCAAAATCAACATCAAATGGAACTTGTAAGTAAACTTTACAAAGGAAGCTCAGGATTTAGATCAGTGCTATAATCCCTCAAATGGAAATGATAGTAAGGATAAATGAAAGGGGATTCTTTTATCTAAATGTTATGTAAGACAACTTGAAGCTGAAGGATGTTAGGACTGCTTAGATCAAGGGTGGAATATTTTTTAGGTGGGGAGTGGAATATTAAAATTCAAGATTTTGCTACACTTGTACAGGGCATTAATGAGACCACATCAGGGGTACTGTGTACAGTTTTGATCTTCATTTGAAAAGGGATGCTGATTGCGTTCAGATCAGTTCAGAAAAGGTTTAGTCAACTGCTGCCTGGATGAAGTGGGTTGTCTTATGAAGAAAAGTTAGATCTGTATTCATTGCAGTTTAGAAGAATGAAAAGGGATGTTTTTCCTTCTGGGAAAGTATAAAACGAGGGGACAAATTAAAACATAATGGGCCTCCCATTTGAGGGAAATTTAATATGGTTATGGCAGTCATGTGGAGGCTAGGATTATTGAAAATCTTCAAGGTAGAGGTAACTAAATGCTTGACTGAATGTGGGTTATGGAGGACAAGCAGGTAACTGGAGCTGAGGCTTGAGGGGTCAATTACCTGGTCTGACTAATTTGTATGTTTGTATAATTATGGAGGGCAAAGCTATGATGGAAATCTTGCATACCATACCTTGTTTTAAGTGGTGTAATGGGTATACTAGATGATCTGACATCTTCCATGTGAAATCTGTGCTTACCTCATGTCTTAGATTGTTGCCATTTCTGTTCACAGCTCTCTATCCACCCACTGTGTATTTCAAATTGTTCATAACTCTGGTGCCCATTTCAGCATTTTGTCATCTTTGTACAAGAATTATGACATCTTGAAGCACAGCAAGATTTCTGGAATTGACATGTCATATTATCTTACTCTGTTGGCCATGGCCAACTTGATTTATTGCAGGTGAAGAGGCAGTTGTGTTTGTACTTATTAACTGAATACCTATGCTTCAGATTTGCTTACATCCAATCTGGCAAGTTGTGCTATGGTGACTTTAGAAGCTGATGTATTATGGTTTCAGGAATCATTTTTAATACTCTGACAAGATCATATACAGCTATTCTAGTTTATTAGTAGATGAATTCTAGGCCTGTCTTAATCTACAAATTGACTAGTGTATAATTTGGAACATAATTGATCGTGATTGAACACGTCATAGAATTTTTTGGGATAGATGGAAGGTGAAATTTGAACCACAGCTAGATCACCTGTGATCTTACTGAATGCTGGACCAGGCTTGAGGGGTCAGATTTGTCTATTTCTATTTTACATGTTCCGATTTCTTTCATAAGAGTAAGATCTTGTTAGCCAGTTTCCATCACCACGCATGACTGTTACATAAGGCAAATACTTAAAATATTGATTCACTCTTTTAAACCTTGTTTCTTCTCTGGCTATTTAATCCCCCTTTGAACACAAGAAGTTTATGCTCTTCTCCCTGCAGGAAGGTTGGCATAAGTAACCAAGGTTCTACACTATCCCATCATAAAATGAATTCTTTCCAGTGCCTGTCTTGTTCATAAACTCTATTTGAGCAGTTGATACAACTTCCTTGCTTCCACTACTATTTTTCAGGACAGTTAAAATGCAACTGAATTGTTATTGCGCTGCAGTTTCCTTTCCCTAAACGACATTAGTGAATTTATGTTCCATTGTTGTCAGTGTGATGGTTGGTTGGTTCTCAGCTCCTGGACATCTCTGCAGGAGTTCCTCAGCGTAGTGTCCTAGACCTAACCATCTTCAGCTACTTCTTCAATGACCTTCCTTCTGTCAGAAGGTCAGAGGTAGGGAAATTTGCTGATGATTGCACAACATTCAGCACCGTTTGCAACTGGTCAAAATGCAACATGATCTGGACAATATCCAGGCTTGGGCTGATACATGACAGTAACATTTTGTGCCATATATGATCATAAGTGATGTGGAAGCTTTGGAGAGAATACAGAAAAGGTTCACCAGGATGTTGCCTGGTCTCCAGCACGTTGACTATAAGGAGAGGTTAAAAAGACTAGGATTGTTTTCACCAGAAAGACAGTGGCTAAGAGGAAACCTGATAGAGGTCTACAAAATTATGAGCGGCATAGATAGGATGGATAGTTAGAGGCTTTTTTTTTGGCAGGGTTGAAGTTTCAATTACAAGAGGTTCAAGGTCAGAGGGAGAAAAGTCTTTCACAGTGGTAGCAGCCTGCAATACACCACCAGAAGAGGTGGTGGAAGCAGGCATATTGCCTCTTAAAACGTGCTCACATGAACTGGGAGGGAATAGAGGGATACAGATCAAAAAAATGGCAGGTTTGCTTTTGGATTAATTAGGGGCATGATGGTTGGTTTTTGCTGGGAGGGCCAAATAGCCTGTTCCCCTGCTGTACTTTTTCATTTGTTCAAGAGACAATCTGATCTCTGCCTCTTGATACTCAATGGTGTTACCATCCCTGATATCCCTACTATCAACATTCTGGGGGTTATTATTGACTAGAAACTCAACTGGACTAACCATATTAAACCCTGGCTACTAGAGCACGTTAGAGGCTAGGAATACTGCAGTGAATAACACACCACCTGACTGCCAAAAGCCTGTCCATCTACAAGGCACAAGCAAGTGAGAGGTATTTCAGTGGTTGACGTCCACACGCATCAACTCCCTCCACTACTGATGCTTCCATCTCGAAGGACAAGGGCAGCAGATATGGGAACACTACCACCTTCAAGTTCTCCTCCAAACCAATCGCCATCCTGAGTTGGAACTATATTGCCATTCCTTCACTGTTGCTAGATCAAAATCCTGGAATTGTCTCCCTAATTGGCACAGTCAACCCATAGCAGGCAGACTACAATGGTTCAAGAGGGCAGCTTATCACCACCGTCAAGGGCAGCTAGGGATGGGTAACAAAGGCCTGATGCCCACATCCCACAAATTTTTAAAAGATCGTCTGCTATGGTGGGACCTGGACTCTGATGCCCAGAATGTTACCTGTGTTTCTAGGCTTCTAATCCAGTGCTAATACCACTATGTCAGTACTTTCCTCTTCCCTTCTCAGCTATTGAAGCCATCAAAATCCAAATGCAGAAAGTCCTGGACCTAATGCACGTCATGGCTAGAAAGTAGCATTCATGCCACAGATAGGCTGGGCATTGACTATCACCAACAGGAGAGAATATACCCATTAACCCTTGACATTCAATGGCCTTACCTCTACTATTTTGACATCCTCTGTGTTATCATTGCTTAGAAACTGAACTGGACTAATTTTATAAACTTATGTTTACAAAAACATTTCAGAGGCTAGGAGTGAGCTTCTCAATTCCAAGCCTGACCACCATGTATAGGGCAGGCATTGGAAGGGACACTTGTCTTGCCTGTATGAGTGCAGCTCTGACACTTGAAGCTTGGTGCTATCCAGATTAAAGCAACATGCTTGATTGGCAGGTTGTCTTCAAACATTCAGTCCTTCCACCATCAACACTCAATTGCAACAGTGTGTGCATCTCGAAGATGCAATACAAACGCCCTCAAGGTTCCTTTCACAGCACCACACCAAACCAAACCGATGGCCACTACTATCTAAGATAAAGGAAGTAAATATGCACATTCTCTTCCAAGCCAATCACCATCTTGGCCTGGAACCATCTTGCCATTCTTTCATTGTCACTGGATTAAAATACTGAAACTTTTCCTCTTCCTTTTCTCTTTGGCGTTGTAGGGATATCTACAGCACGTGGACTGCAGCAGTTCAAGAAAGCAGCTCACAGTTGGAAGGCCAACTAGGAATGGGTCAATATAGCCATGGTTGCGTTCCTTAAAGGGATAATATTTAGCTTCTCCAACTAGCAACACAAAATTGAAATTTAAGCCCCGAATCAAAACCGGTTTGGCTGCTACAAAGGTCAACATTCCTTCCTTGACCTGTCACGTACACCTTCCAATGTGTATCATGTGACATGTCACATTCCAAAAATACTGCATCATCAGCCAAATCAAATCAGCCTCCCCTATTGCATTTGAAACACAGGAAACTTGCAACATCCATTGATCCTTAAAATTGCCCCAATGCAGTAACAAGCAGTGGATGTAATATATTTTGGTTTTCAAAAGGTGTTTGATTAAGTCCCATGTTAGGCTAGTTATGATAGCCCATTATGTTCAAGGTTGTATATTAGTGGATTGGCAATCTGAACCTTTGAATAATGCCAGCCACCAGGTTTATAACTTAAAAAAAGTAGTAGCTTCAGCTGAACAAAGTTAAGCAACAAGGTAATCCAATTAATGCCTATGGCTTTAAAAGCAATCCTTTTTTGGTTACAGCCTCCATCTTCACACAGACAAACAGAGTTAAGGGATAAATTAATAAGGGGAGGATGCAACTGGCCAGTTCACTTATACATTTGCAGAATCTGTAATATCTCGGGCACATAGAATTGTATTTTGCTTGGTGTCTAATGACACTGGTCAACATTAATAGCTTCTAGTAGGCTCCAAGGAATATTCATTTAATTGTTATAATTGAGATTCTATTATCAACTTATTGAAAACTTGGAGAATGGGAGAATAACAAGAGAACAATCAGAGCTCTGGCATTCAGAATACTTCCTGAGAAAGAAGACGTTCAAAACCAGTGCAGACTTTGGGGTTTTTTTTCCAACGTTCTCTTGCCACCAACCTCTGAGGTCCCTGTTAACGTTCAAACAACTGCCATCTGTTTAAGCACAATGCTCCTTTGGAGTCAAAACAACTATGAGTTCTTTGAATAAGAGTCAACTGGTAATTAGGCTCCAGGTCGGCGCAACATCGAGGGCCAAAGGGCCTGTACTGCGCTGTGATGTTCTATGTTTATGCCAGACCTGGCCTCAAAAAAAATTCAAACTGATATTTTAAAAAAAACAAGCTGCTGCTCTCAGCTCAAAGATCACGTTCAGCTCTCTGTTCACATTTGCAAACCATTTGGCATATAGCCTAGAATACTAAAAGACATAGCTACAAAGATTGTGAATGCAATGGTAGAAATCTTGCAAGAATCTTTAGATTTTGGAAAATATCATAGGATCAGAAAATTGCCAATTAAATTCCCTTATTAAAAAGGGAAGGAGACTTCAAACAAATCACTACAGGCCAATAAGCTTAACATCTGTTATTGTGAAAATGATAGTCTTTAAGGATGTGAAGGGCATTTAGATACACATAATAAAGCAGAGTCAGCATAGTTTCATGAAGAGGATATAATGCCTGACTAATATATTTTAATTCTTGTGAGGCAGTAACAAGCAGCGGATGTGATATATTTCAGTTTTCAAAAGGTGTTTGATTAAGTACCACATGTTAGGCAAGTTACGATAGCCCATTGTGTTGGAGTTATATATTAGAATGAAGAGTAGATTGGCCACGTAAAAGACCGAGTACGGATAAGGGGCATTTCCAGGATGACAATGTGTGACTAGCAGAATGCCTGATTAATTTTAATCAACCCTTGCAACCATCCTAATGCTTTTTAAATGTATCTGTATATTCTCTTCAGTCACACCCTCATGTACCGAGTTCCACTGTTCTTTTAATAAAGTTTCTTCTGAATTCACTACTGGTTTTATTGTTGGCCACAGTTATTGACAATATTTCAATGACTTGGATGACAAATGTGAATGCACTATAACCAGGATAACCGAGGACCTGAATATTGTTAAAATGAAGACTGCAAAAACAGTGCAGCACAACAGCAATGTAAATCAAGCAGTACACATTCAGCAGTACTAGGAAAGGCAATTGGAAGATTAGCCTTTATGTCAAAGAGATGGAGCATAAAAATAGAAGTCTTGCTAAAACTACACAAGGTATTCATTCAAGGGTCATCCCTTGAATTCCACCAAAGGTTGTAGAGAAAAGCTGGAAAGCGAGGTTGAGCATCATCAGATCAGCTACTCTCATTGGCAAAGTGCACTCAATGTGCTCAATGGCCCGTAATCAAAATAATTGTTGGTGTTTTAAAAAACAGAAATGCATCGCCTCAGGGTGCAATCATAAGATATAAAATTTACTTTATAAAATGTAATATTACTCAAACATTTAGTTTGTATCAATAGAAAGCGGTTAGTTACAGAATACCAGGAAGTAGGCATGAATTCATGGAAAATGGTGCTTCCACTTTCTATAGTTCTAAATTCACTGATAAAGTTATGAAAGCAGATTTCTTACTGAAACAGCTAAATCAAACAGCTAAAGTAGTCAGATGTTTATTTTTAAAAAATGAATTAAATCAGAGTATTCCACCTCCCCCAATTAGAATTACAAACGTTTACAGCATTCTTCGAGGGATGGATGAGACTGTGGGCCACAGCTGAACACATGCGTTGAATGTCACTCGTATATATGTTGTATTTAGCAAAGTTAGAGATGAGATGCTAATAATGACAAAATTTCTTGCAGCTTTTAATTGTACCAAAGCACTGGAAAGTTGTCAATATTGCTAAGCCAACTTAATATGATACAAGGGGTACTGTAGCTATAGGCTAATTACCTTCACAGTGAATAAACTGTTAGAAATAAAGGACTAATCTACCATTAAAGTTGGCAAATACTTCCCTACTTTTCAGTTCTATCAATCTAGAAATAAAACCTAATGTGTTTTTTTTAATGGCTTTGTTACCTTGAGGCACAGGCTTCAGTGATTGGTGGTGGATTTGTACACCTAGATCCTTCTGTATATTTATACCTCTTGGACTTGCACCTTCAAAATAATAAATGACTTTCCTCTTCTTCCAACCTTACTTAATTACTTGTGTTGAACATTATTTGTCAACATTCACTCATTCTGCAAGTTTATTCATATACATTGTGAAAAGCAGCATATTGGATCTTTTTCTCTTGCACTCATTAGGCTAAACACAAGAACATCAACCTCAAATGACCACAACCATTTATATTACTTGAAAAAAAACTGCTGATTGGTCCAAGACAAAGAGCTTCAGTTTCTACCAAGCCTTTTTTTTTTATTAATGTACTCCTGTGTCTACGTTCACAAGTGTGTGTTTTCCCTGCCCTACCCCACAAACACTAATCTCTTCCCCAATTTGGGGGTAGGTGATGGCCTAGTGGTATTATTGCTAGACTATTAATCCAGAGACCCGGGTAATGTTCTGGGGACCTGGGTTCGAATCCTGCCATGGCAAATGGTGGAATTTTGGATTCAATAATAATCTGGAACTAAGAGTCTAATGATTACCATGAACCCATTGATGATTGTCAGGAAAAACCCATCAGGTTCACTAATATCCTTTAGGCAAGGATATCTGTCTCCCTTACCTGGTCTGGCCTACATGTGACTCCAGACCCACAGCAATGTGGTTGACTTTTAATTGCCTTCTAGCAATTAGGGACAGGCAATAAAAGCTGGTCTAGCTACTGATGCCCACATTCTATGAATGATTTTTTTTTTTAAAAAATCGCTTAGATAATCTACATTTAACTTAATTGATCTGCTTTAGTTTTGTAGCCCTTAATAGCCATGTTTAAAAAAATCCATCAATCTTAAGTTTGTCAGGTCTTTACAATTGTTCAGTGTAGCAACATTTCTGAATGGGAAACTATAATGTTACATTAAATGGCTAACTTGAAAAGTAATAAAACCCTGCATATTTCATAACAAAACAAAACTTTATTCACATTTTATTAGTAGTTGCAAAGACAAAGTAATTTATAGAGCAGGAGACAACACAAAATACTTCTGATTCCTACAAGAAAAAAAATAGCAGAAGAAAACAAAAGAAAAATCCAAGAAACTGCTGCTGGAAATACAGCTGTCTTATTTAGTGCACTGTACGGTTTTCCAATTTTCTATTTAATATAGTTCTCTGATCTATTATCGTTGCTTTATATATCATGTAAACTTGGTTGTTAGGTGAAAAATTCAGCGACTGCAAAAAAAAATAAATAAGCTAAGATCTAGCAAATGTCAGCACTATTAGGTGTGCACAATTTTAAATCAATTGAAGGGACTGTTTGACCAGAATTTATTTTTTAAAAAAAGAAAACTTGATTGAGCTCAGCTACTTCTACAATAAAAAAAACTCAAATGTAAATTGTTGGAGAATGCAGTGTACTCATGGGTTGTAAAAACTGCCAAAGGTAAATCTAGATAATAACATACTTACGAATCAAAAAGCAGTAGGCTACACACTCCCCAATGTCCCCATCCCCAAAAAAGAATATTTCACCACATAGTTAAGAAAAAAATATCAAGAGGTGCACACTATGTGACAGGAGCAGCTTAACCTTGGCAGTCCATTTTACTACTGAGTGCTACAGGTCTCCATATTTCACCACCCCCATCTCCCCCAACAAAATCAGGTTACTGGGCTTACACAGGCCTTCCATGACGGGAAGAGTAAGAATCGGGTGTGAACACTTTTTTGAAGAGAATGAGCAGATCCAGTTACATTATATAGTGGGGTTATAGTCTAGTATAGAGGTTTCATAGACAGTCTGTGGAGTTAAGAGGTCCATTAAAAAGGAGCATTTCAAGACCTATACAACAGGATTCAGCAAGTGGCAAGTTCTGGGCTGGGCTGTTGCTAGGTTAGTGCTGCTCCCTTTCTGGCCTGTGTACGTCACGACTCCTCATTTCCAGAGTCCTCATCATCATAGCAGTCAGCGTCATCTTCCTCCTCTTCCTCTTCATCTATATCATCATCATATAAATCATCATAAAGTAAGTCTGAACTGTTGTCACTGGAAGGCACTTTGGTCTTAATACAATATTCAGCCAGTGTGGTTGGAACCTTCACACCATCCTTTTCAGCTTCAGCCTTGGTTGAAAGCACTTGTTTCCTAATAAGAAAAACAGTAATGGCAACAATAAATAACTAACCAATACAAATTTGTCTTGCACACAAATTTCTATTTTGATCTGGAGAACAAAAATGACCTCACCATTTAGAAATCAAAATTCATGATCACCATATGTCCAATTCATTCCTTGATAGTTGTTTAAACCTACCTACCAGATAGCCCACCAAGACATACTGCTGAGACAATATAAAGAAGCTTAAAATGAAAGCAAATTATTGTTGATGATTGAGATCTTGAGCTTTAAAATTCCCTCAAATTACCATAAAATTGGGAGTTCTACCAGAAAGAATTAGCTACTTGGGAAGTGGAAAGGTTGAAAATGACTCAGGGGCCACACTACCAGCTCGTACATAAAAAAGTTAACAAAAATTCTCCAATGCTGACAATCCTGCTTCAATAGGCACTTTTCACTGTATCTTGGTACATGTGACAATCAAATCAAAATCCAGGTTTGGGATGGCAAGTAATATTTGCACCACACAAATGCCAGGGAAGGACAATCTAACCATTGCCCCATAACATTCATTGAGGTCACTGTTACTGAATCCCCACTATCAACATCCTGGGGGTTACCATTTATCAGAAACTGAACTGGACTAATCATATACATAATGCGACAAGAAGAACAGGTCGGAATTCTTTTATTCTTTATTCGTTCACAGGATGAAGGCATTGCTGGTCAGGCAACATTTATTGCCCATCCCTAATTGCCAAGAGGGCGGTTAAGAGCAAAACACATTGCTGTGGGTCTGGAGTCACATTTGGCCAGACAGGGTAAGGATGGCAGTTTCCTTCCCTATAGGACATTAGTGAACCAGATGGGTTTTTCTGACAATGAATTCATGGTCATCATTAGACTCTTAATTCCAGAAATTTATTGAATTCAAGTTCCACCATCTGTCATGGCTTGATTTGATTCCAGGTCCCCAGAACATTATCTAGGGATCTGGGTTAACAGTCCAACGATAATATCACCAGGCCATTGCCTCACCACTTGCAATAAGTAACTCACTCCCAAAGCCTGTCCATCATCTACAAGGCACAGGTCAGGAGCACGATGGAATATTGCCACTTGCTTGGATGAGCGCAGCTCCAACACTCAAGAAGCTTGACACCATTCAAGACAAAGCTTTGTAACGTAATATTTAATGGCTTGTCCTTCTATTCAGTTGAAATACTCTCTATTTCCCTAATTATATCATTGGCAAGAACTGGTCCCAGCAATGTTCAGGTGGAGACTGGCCCATCAGTACAAATCCCACTTAGTTCAGGACTGGCACCAGTACACCACAAACCAATTAAATCAAAGCAATATACTGCTGATGCTGAAAGCCTGAAGAAGAGTCATACCAGACTCAAATCTTCACTTTGTTTCTCTCTCTACAGATGCTGCAGGCCTGCTGAGTTTCTCTTGTACACTGCTTTTACTTTACGAGCCAGTTCCTTTCTTATCTATCCAGTTTGAGCCACATAACTTCTAACAGCTTCTCATCCCACTTCCACATTGCTAACTCTGGTATCTTCCAAATATTATACTCTTTTGCCCCCTCCTATTCTTATAATCCACATATTGCTTCTTAGAAAATAAGGTGTAGAGAACTGGATGAACACAGCAGGCCAAGCAGCATCAGAGGAACAGGAAGGCTGACGTTTTGGGCCTAGACCCTTCTTCAGAAAACATTTCTGAAGAAGGGTCTAG